CCCTTGAGTTCCAGGCTAAGGTCGCGTTCACCAGTCGGTCCACTGCATCCTGGGAGCCAAGGGGCACCCACGGCGAAAACCATGCAGAATTCAAGCGGCCAACGGGACAGTTTCACGGGTTGAAGCAACACAAACGATTTATTTTTGGGATTTAACCCAGAGAAATCGGGATTTGATATGATTTAATAGGATTTAACCACCAAAATGAAGGATTTATTGGGATTTAACCGACGCAAATGGGGATCTGTATAGTCTTGAAGTTTGACATGGAACTCCAAAATTGGCATACCCAATAGGAGATTCATCGTGCAGACTCGTTTTTTTGCTGTTCTGTGTTGAATTTAAAAGGCGTGCGGTGGGGATCCTAATCATGATACACCATTTTTTGAGATGCATAATTTTATTAGACAAAGAACAAACTACAAGCCGCATCTAGTCAATTGCCTTCAGGTGACACCCAGATCGGCCAGTGACAAGGCCAGGCTGTGTTGCGCTGCTATCTTCATACACCAACTTCACAACCAATTAAACAGCATACCAGTCAAGGCGGCTCTCCTCTCTGCTGCCAGTCAACCAAGAACCATGAAAAAAGGCTTCAGCAGTTGTTTGGGCGTTCTGCATTTTTTTAGTGTTTCTTGGGCTCAAATGGGACACAATAAGCTTGGCAAAACGGACAGTCGTCGGCTTAGTCTGCAGGCCTCATCGCAGGTGATGCTCATGCTGTCCGGCTCCCAATTGAGCTCATGGCACGTCGTGGTGAAAGTCACGACTTTCTGGTCGAATGCCACAAGCTCCTTGAATGTGGCCAGAGCAGGGCCGTCGAGTGTTTCTCATAGGACTCTCAGAGCCGGAATGCTATTTGAAAGCTGGGTCCCAAGCCAGCAAAATGGGCCCACGCAGCTTCAGAATCCAGGGAGTTCATTTTCCAGTTCTACAAATTGACTTCACCAGTCTTCACCTTCAAAGCAAGCCATCAATTTCCTGATCAGTACCGACATGTTGTAGGGGAAGAAACACACGTTCATGGGTAAATTGAGAGTCTAAGCATAAACATGGGCTTTAGCCAAGCGAGAACGGGTGCGATTGATTAGGAACTCCGGGTCCCAAACGTTTCAGGTTGCAGCTGATCCTTGTTTAAATGGTCATTTTCTATAGCTATGTGAAAATACCACAAGGTATACAATTATAGCAACTAAAAAAAATGTACTGTATTCCATTGTGTTCCCAATGCACATGAAATGGCTGGTTGTGTACTTAGTAACTTTGTCGATAAACTCGTCCACTTATTGGAAATGCAGTTCCAGCTATACGTTGATGTATAACCACAGTGAAAGGGGTTATGTTCCAACTTATGTGGTTTATAGCCATGGCTATATACCCATTTGTAACCTCAAGTGCGCCCCAACATATTGTATATATATATATATATCCAAATACCCCAGTGACTGCCTTGGGTCCCCGATGTTGGCGGTAATATCACTATGATTCCACTAAATTCACGTGGTATATAAATCCCCATGTAAACCTTGGCGCCAACTCAAGCATGGAACAATGCTGGTTGCTGAATTTTACTTAAATCACGACTGTTGATTGGTTAGGTCAAATTATATGTTGTTCTTGGCCGAATCTGATTATCCCCCCAACTCTGTTGGTTAAACCATCATCAAATCAATTAAATCGCCACTTCAAGGAACTTGATACAATCCATTATATCATCCACATATTATTCCCAGAATCATAGCTATGTTTGACGGTGAATCAAGTTAAATCCAAATTAAATCATTAAGTTTGTGGTTAAATCTCATTAAATCACCATGATTGTTAGTTAAATCCAATAAGAATCCCATTCACTCATAATTTGTTTTTGGTTAAACCCATTTACATCCCAGCTTGAAAAACTGCATGTGTGTTGCTTAAATCAGATAGATCATAGATCGGCATTAAATCACCATTACCCAGATGCTCCATGGTGCAGGCATATTTCCCCACATTTGAGCCATTTTTGGGGTAAATGTAGGGATTCATATTCCATATGGAGCATTTGGGTAATGGTAAAATACCATGAAATCCCATGACATCCCATGACATCCTAAATAGAAAACCGCATGTTCCGGCGAATCTCATCAAACCGTTACATTTTTCGGTGGGTTTTGATCCCATGACATCCCAATACTGTAAATCACCATGTTAGCGTTGGTTAAATCACATTGAAATCCCCTTGAAATCCCACGAAATGCCCATTTTTCTGGTTGGTGGTTGAGCCTACCCCTCTGAAAAATCATGGAGGTCGTCAGTTGGGATGATGACATTTCCAATATGATGGGAAACCAGCAACCAGTCATAGGGGATATTCACGGATATTCCACATACAATCGGGGGTATATAAGCCATGTTTGAAACCACCAGCCAGCTACCCTCTGGTAAACTAACATAACTATGGAAAATCACCATTTATAATGGGAAAATCCACTATAAATGGACCATTTTCACTAGCTTTTTGTATGTTTACCAGAGGGTATATCCCATTAAATCCCATTAAATCCCATTAAACCACCATTTTCCTATGGTTTTCCTATGGTTTTCCTTTCTTCAATCCCTAAACCCACATGGTTTTCCTTTCTTCAATCCCATACCACATACGTTTTCTCGTGGCGTGGCGATGTTTTTCACCATTGAAACTCCATCCAAACTCGGCATCCGCACCAACCAGCGTGGCTGGCTCTGGTAGCGCCTGACCACTTCTTGGGCCTGGGCCATGGTCCCAGCGTCACATCGTTTAATGGGGATATCATGGGGATATCATGGGGACATACCGGTTATGACTAACGGATTTTTATATATTTTATGGAGATTTAATGGGGTTTAATCAACACGAATTATAGAATTTAGATGAGTTTGGTTGGGTTGTCAATCCCAAATTGGAAAATGGATGATTTCATGGATTTCATGGTGTGAGGATTTTACCAGCGATTTCATGGTGATTTCATGGTCCACTTTGACGCGTCACGAGTCCACGAGTCCACCAAAGCTGGCCCGCCACTGGGCCGGGATCACTTGAGTTGCGTTTTCGGTGATGCTTCATAGCTACCTAAGTTGGTTTACATGTACTGTAGGTTTGTTTACTACGTTTGTTGAGTTTACTACGTTTGGTTAGTTGCGAAAAGATAGAACATAGATGAACATATCACATACTCATGCAACCATTACTTATGTTGTGTATCTCACTAGTGTTTATGACTCAACTGACTTGACTTATAATATCTTATAATAATCATACAATCACCACAATGTACCCACCAAGAGTCCCTGGATTAGTATTGGATTGCTCTTCATTTTGGGTCCCGAATATTGAATGTGGCAATATAGCAGATCACAAAAGGCCATCATTTCACACAAAAGGCATCATTTCACAAAAAACATGGCATCAACTCAAAATATTGAATCAGGTTTTTCCATGTTTTTTTGCCCACTTCTCTCTCTCTCTCTCTACCTCTGTACAGGGGGTTGCTACATCTCCGATCTCGGCGTGCGTCCGGGGTCCCCGGCCGGGCCGGTGACGTCCAGAAAGCGCCGGGGCGCCAGCTTCGCCACCAAGGGCCTGGCAGCTCGGTTTAGCCGCTAGGGATACCCTATGGTTTTCCAGTGGTTAATAGTGGTTAAAACACCATGGGAAAACCATAGGAAAATGTGGGAAAATGGAGGTTGAATAGTGGTTAACCGTGGTTAATAATAATAATCAATGATTATAATGGAGATTTACCCTCTGGTAAACGTTTTCATAACGAGCTGGAGTATCACCATGCTATTAATGGGTAAATCAACTATTTCTATGGCCATGTTCAATAGTTTTTCGTATGTTTTACCAGAGGGTATAAACTGTTAACCCACCCGGTTTTAAAGTGAACAACTATTGGTTCAACCAATTCTCTATAACAACCATGCATAACTTGATTCACTGTTGGGTTTAAAGTGAACGGGTTTATACACCATTTTGTAACTAACTAGGGGGTTCACCTTGTACCGTCCCACACAAAGATCCGAATTCAACCTACAAAGTGTTACCCACAGCAATACGAAGGCTGAGCTTCACCCCAGTAACAGTATATATAAAAATATACCCCGTAGACCCAACAGTCAACCTACTAATTTCAACCAACTTATCTTATATACTTTATTGGGGCACCACTTTGCAATGCATTCCATGCTGTCCCCATCATGATTTGCTTTGTACTCCATTTCTGCTGGTTGGCTTCCCCGTTGTGGTTCTTCAATATCTACGTCCAACCTTTGTCCTAGACAATACTAGTGATACTAGTGGCAGTCTCACGGCCGCACCAGCATGAGAAACCCCAGACTTCCAAGAAGCCGAGGAAAACTTGGAATATAGATAGTTTATGATGGATACTTGGTGGATATTTGATGATGTTTGATGATATTTGATGGTTGATGGATCTTTTATGGTATTTGATTGATAGTTGGTAGTTTCAACCTGAATGACACTGAAATCTGCTTTGAGCCATTTCAATCTTGAGCCATGCATGTTTCAAGTTTGGAGGAAACCATGCATTTAAGCTGGGCTGGTCAACCAAAATCAACCACCGGCAGGCTGTACCCCGCTGCGTTTTCCATGCATCGACTAGGTCGACCGTCACAGTGCTGGAATTCAGTTTGAGCATCATTTCGCGCTCAAGGTAAGAATAAGAACATCCTTTGGTTCCATCTTTGTACTGCCCTGGGCCCTCCAGTGGTACCCATGACCAACTCTCTGAGTTAAGGAACACATGACAAACTCTCTGAGTCGCAAAGTACGTCATCAACCGAGGTCCACTGAAGGAGATCAGGAAGTTTTGATCAATCTCAGACCCGTTTCATGGAGATGACTCTGGAAGGATCCCAAATCATATATTCACCTCCATCCCCGGGATTAAAATACACCGAATCGTAGCCATCCGATGAGAAGCGGCCACCTTGATACGACCGGTCCAAACAGCGGATGGCTTGGTGCACAGGTTTGCCCCAACACTTTGGAGATGAGGTACCTCAGCTTCACAAACTGGGTGAGACCCTGAGGGGTCAACATGGCCAGCCCTATAAATGGAGGCTTGAATGGGAAAATCGTCTATAACTTGTCTACAATTGAAATTGGGGATTTCTCTGTTGCCATTGCCATGTTTGATTATACCGGATTGTATATTTTTGACAGAATATGTTGGGACAAGCCAACATTTCATCTGGTTGGTGGTTTCAACCCGTCTGAAACATATGAAAGTCAGTTGGGATGATGACATTCCCATATAGTATGGAAAAATAAGTGTTCCAAACCACCAACCAGATCCTACGGTTTTCCTATGGTTTTCCATGTTCCAAACCACCAACCAGTCATGGTTGAGGAAATCCCGGGTTCCCGATTCTTCTCCTTTCCAAAAAGGGGTGTTTTTCACCATCTTTTGACATCTCCACCTGGATGCGGCGACTTCACCAGAATCACCAGATCCATTGGATAAATCACCGTATACTGAAAATCACCAGCCAAATACTTCGACATGTCAGTGGCCATTTCAGGATATATGGCCTTATATGGTACAGTACCTCCATGTTAGGATCCTGGAGATCTCCCACTGAACATGGTGGTTTATAAATCCCACTGGCAACCCCTCAACCCAGCAGGTCACCTGAAGGGAAATAGGCCCAGGGGCCCAGGCCCTTAGCCAAGTCGCAATACTTCGGCATGTACTTGGTTCGACCAAGATCCACTTTCGCCTGAATGATGAAGCCATGATGTGAGTCAACTCCCACCTCAGTTGAAGTGAAGCCAGCGATTTGGGACACCAGTTGCCCAGTTGAGACAACATGGGCAGAAACTATGGGTGCCGGTCAGGACTACTCTAGATGTGAAATATTCGAAACAAATACTCTAGATTTCAAATACTAGATGCTCAATACAACAATTTCAAAAAAACGCACCTGCTGCAGTTTCTGTTTTCCCATAACGCACATTGTCATGCAATGTCTTCATCTTCAATGGTGCCCAAATCACACGAACTTCCGATGGAAAAAGTGCAGTTGAACAATGGATTCAGAAGCCCCTCATCTGGCAAACCCACCGTTTCAGGCAGCCAAGCTTCCGCCTTATGATAGGTAGCTCCCTTACTCAGCGCGAAGTAGATGCCACCCCCGCACCAACCGATGTGACCTCTGCGAAAGCCGTGTCGCAGAATCTGAGGCCCAGCAGAGGTGCTGGTCTGGTGGTAGAGGTACTTGATATGACCTCCATGCCTGACAAAGGCACTCGGTGAGGCCATGAAGTGCGGGTAAACCGTACTGCAATGTGGCACTGTGAACTATATATCATTATATACCCACAATAAACCCTATAGTTGACTTACTTCTACAAACCAACGTAGCTAACTATAGGGCATCACCTTGTGGTACCTTGTAGCACTGATCACTCGCAAAAACACAAGACACAAAAAAACAGTTAGTCAACACTATATCATATATCAAAACAGTAAGGAATTCGTTTTCGAAGATTGTTTGAGGGCTTGGGATTGCCAGGGTCCGTGCCAAACCTCTGTTGGTGTCCAATAATCCAGCGTTGTAGGTAGATCGGGGAGGATGAACTTTGCTTCATCATCCAAGTTTGTCAGCTTCTCATGTGCTCATTGTTGCAGTTGCCGTTGTTTTGCTACAGATGTCTTTGTTCATTGTTTCGATATCCCACGAGTTTCAGGTATTATGTCGATATCCCAAAACTTTCTATTTGGCTGGCTCGGATTTACCATTTGATCATGTTTGATGTCAAGCCTTATACATATCAGCTCAAACTCTCATAGATAGTTGGGCTTCAACTCCACTTTAGCAGCATATTTTAGCACCATATGGTTTGTCCGAAAAAGGAGGATATCCTAAATACATCTAAATACCAAAATCCTACAGTTGTGGCCCTTACAAGTTATGAATGGGATTATGACTCCTGTAACTAGTTAATATATATATAATTATATATATATCATGAAATCAGGCAGTTGAAACTGTCAGAGGGCTATAACAAATAGATGTGGAATTGCTCCACCATTGGTAAATCCTTTTCACCGGAAACCGCGGATTTTTTCCACATCTTTTTACGTTTACGCTAGGGTACTCTTAGATGGGCCATGGGATGTTGCCGATTCCTGGTTAGTAACTGGGGATTTTGTCACCCCCAAAAAATCCCAATGAAATAATCCATGGCTACTAACTAGTTTTCACTAACTCCATGGCCCATCTAAGTACCACTATTCTGGGTAAATTATAATAATTCACAAACCTGAATAGTTCGGCCATTTGGGGATGATTTCCCTAAAATAAGCCATGATTTCCAGTGAGGGAGAACAGTGAGGTCGTTATAATTTACCCAGACTATTGGTCAAAAGTGAGAACCTCCACCCATCGGCGCCATGCACCACGCCTCGCATGGCCACTGCGACGTTCCGTGCTGAGGCTGGGTGTCTCGTTGTAGTCCGGCTGCGCGGCCAGGAAGAACTCCAGAGCTTCCTAGACGAGGTGGGATCTATCCGAACGCTTCAACGAGGAAAATTCTAAGTTCCCGGGATTTAACCAACGAGAACGGTGATTTAAATGGGATGTAAACCTTTGATAGATGTGGAAAAGCCATGGTTTTTCTATAGGAAAATGATCTATCATCCCACATCCATGTTAGTTGCACAGAGGGTAACCAGTGAACATATGTGAATTCAGCCAACAGAAATGGGGGTCGAAATAACATGGCTACCGAAAATCACCATGGGCCAAATTTTCCATAGCAACAAGCCGGATTGCCGGAGGCTAGTTGAACCATCAAACATTGGGATTTGCCATGATTTAACTGATTTTTGACCAGAAACCAACTACAAATGCTGGGAATATTGGAAAAATATGGAAAAAGAACTTCCCCATGAGGGGCCGTTTTGAAGATCCATGGCTTATCAGATCATGTTTTGATCATTTTCTCCATGAACGCAATGCCAGGACTTGAGCTAAGCAACTTCAAGCGAATAACTCCCCGCCAGATCTGCTTCTTCGGTCGAGCCATTGGAGGAATCCGCGGAGTCACTCTCGTTGGCAGGAACGATCCTGGTGGTGAGCTTGGCACCTCTACCAGGTGCGTAATAGCGGGTGATATATATATATATACATGGCAATACCATGTGAGCAAAAATAATCTACCATCTGGTTATGACTAACATAGCCATGGAAAATCCCTTATAAATGGAAGTTTATAGCTGGGAAAATCATCTATAAATGGGCCATCTATACCAAGGCTATGTTAGGCATAACCAGAGGGTAACACTGCAGCAACATGGCGATTCCATGTAGGATTCTACCTCTTTGGAGGCAGCAATTGGCGCATCAAATCTGATCCCTAAATTTAATCCAATCACGGTTACCACGGTTGGCCACATATCAATCCAATCACCAACATTCACCATATCCCAAGCGAGGACAGTGAGGATACGGAGATGATATTCCAACATACTCCAAGAGTAGCCACTTCTGCCTCACGAACTTACACAGGACCCAGAGAATCCAACCATTCACCTTAAGATCCAACCAGTTTTTATGCTTAAGGGCTACTTAAGTGCTACATATCCAAAGGAATGGTGTGGCCTTTGGGGCTTAACACGAGTTTTTGGAGCCCAAAACCTGTGGTTAGATCGCCTTTCTGTGGGTCAAATCTCCATTCTTTAGTGGTTCAACGACCCATACCTGTACTTATAGTAAATGAATATATATATATATTATACTTATGTTTATACACACATAGTTCATAAATACCAAACTACTTCCCACTAATATCTCCATGTCGCCGGAGTTGTTGCTAAATGTCCCCAGTTCACCCTACGCAGATCGGCCATGGAGTTTCTTAGGGTTTATAGACCCCATCAAATAGTTTGATATGTCTACCACATCCAAATGTAAACCTGTTTATAATATTTTATAATGAAACAACTTAGCTCACGAACTGGAGCACCACCTGGTCATAAATCCCACAAAATGTTCCTACAGTATCCCAATGACATGTTTGTAAAGTCGTTGGTTTAATGTCATTTAATATCCATGTTGAAACCAAGCATTAAAGCATCACGGACAGCTATGGACTATTAACATTATATCATGTCCCATTATGTATCCCAATTATACCACCATATACTTGTTGGTTAAGTCACCATTCCATAACCATGTTGATAGCCTCAATGGTTGATCCCATGAAAAATCACAATGTTTTTTATGTAAAATCCCATTGAATCATCACATTTTGTTGGTGAAATCCAATTACAACACCACTTTTTCTTGGCTAAGTCCCGCTAAATGACAATCACCATGGTTGATCCCAGCCACTTCTCCCATGCCCAGCCTCTCTGTGGTCTCCCGCACTCGCAACTGTCGCAGCTCCAGTGCTGCGGCCGCTCCGTCGCAGCCGCCTGCGTCGCAGGCTTCGAGCGCGGAGGTGTCCACGGCGAGGTCGGTGGCCGCGACCTGGTTTCGATTGGGATGGAAGTTGAGTAACGGATGACCCACACTTCAAGCCCTACCAATGAATTCTGGTATAAACTATGATATGCATTCCATACATAGGGTCATAAGTGGTGGTACCCTCACTCTAGTTCGTTGGCCAAGTTGGTTGCAATAACGAACAACTAGGGTTTGAGGTGATGAAATAACTATAGTTGGATGAGGTTCTATGCCAACATATGTAACTCAGGGGGCACCATCTTGTACCCCTTGTGTTTTAAGTGTGAATCCCTTCAACATGGGCATTTACCCAGAAGACAAAAATCGGGTTCTGTGAGCCTTTTTTCGTGGATACTTTGAGGGTCAAGGGTGATGTGATAGGGCGTTGTTTTTTCTTTTGGCTGGTCATAAGATAGCCAGTCTGCCTGAGCTTCAAGCAGTGAAACAAAGGGATTGAACAATGAACATAACACAAATGATGCAACAAAGATGGGATATGAGTGGATCAACTAGATAGAGGCTTGGCCAAGGAAGAAACACAAATTGGAATGACTACCTATACTTTTAGGGTTCATCTGGGAACGCCATTTCATCAAAACAAACTGGGCGAATCGTTGACAATGAACAACAATGAGCAACAATGAGCAACAATAGTGAGGACATGGTCAGCAAAGGGCAATGGCATCAATATCTGTTGGGATGCAAGTTGCAAGCAAGAGGATTTACTGTAACTGAACTTTGGGTATTCGGACCTGTTACTGTGCTAGCGAACAACGTTTACCAATGTATTTCTTCTGGTAGCAATGAAACAACCCACCCAAAATCTACGTGCAAAAAAAACAGAAGCTTGGTGACTCAGACATACAAGCGGCAAGCAAACACCTAGAATCCTAGAATATCCTAGAATCATCAAACAGGCAGATTGTCGCTGAATGGTGCAGCATCCTTGAATTGATGCTACTTGCAAGGATACCACAAGTCTGGGTTTGAGTTGCTGACAGCAAAAAGGAAAGTTCCCCAAAACAGCGCAAATAGCTGCGGTCTGATGGACCATATCTGGTTCTCCAACCCCTCCCCCCAAAAAAATGCAAACAAGGGATTTAAGATGTGGGTTTGTCAAGCTTGGGCTTCGGTATCAAGAAAAATCTTGATGGTTTATCATGTCCCCTTTTTCTTATAGACTTCTGCCCAGTTCTTGATGGCTATGTTGGGGTAGGAAGTCCCCCGAACTCTCACAGCTGTACCGTCAGCGTGGTTCCCACGCTACAGTCAAGCTGCCAGAACCGGAAGGATAACAAGCTGCAGCAGTTTCAAACGTGCCATGGCGGATCGCTTTTTGCGCAAGCAGAGCGTGCTATGGAAAGATCGTTTGGAGCCAAGAAAAACAGCCCAAAACCAGTTGATCCACTATCACTACGGATCATGAATACCAGGCATTGCTCAAATATACATTGGTTTGAGGAATCTTAATGAATCAACTTGTGCCACTGGTCCCAGAGATGCAGTATGACTAAATTCAAAAACCCGAGGCAAAAGTTTAAACCTGATCCCAACTAAACAGTTGGGAATTGATACAACTAAAGATCAAAGGATCATAGGAAGCGCAAAGTCGCATTTTGCAAAATATGTATGAAAGATAAACAATGATTCATAATGCACATGTAAGCCCCATGTATGAATTTCTGCCAGGCAGTGGCAATATTCTGGGCTTCCCAGCCTCATAGCCTTTGGGCACACTGAGCTAGCCTGCAACGAAACAGTTCATCGTCAATACAAGGTGCAAAAATGGCAGCAGTTGCCAAGCGTAGTAGCTTGAGCAAGAACAAGGGGGAAGTTCACGTAAAGAGCCAATAAGAATTGCTTCTGCACAACTTTTTTTTTAAATGAATCAGAGACATAGCCTGACATACCCAGGGCATTTCTTCGCGATGTGAAGTATTTTTTCGCGTTTTTGAGCATAACCATCGGGTAGATTGCTCGATGGAACGCCTGGATTTTTTTGTGGATCATCCCGAATGGGTTCTCGGAGGATCATCATCCACTTAGTTAAGTGAATAATAACCAAAGTTAATTAAATCATAGCCATAGGATCCATGTATGCTATATATGGTAACATGGATCCCATCAATATACCCCCTTTATGTTAGCATATATATATATATATATATCATACATGGATCCGTCATGGGTAAGTGAATAATAATAAGGATCAATAATAATAGTAAGTTAATAACCATGTTTTAATAATCATAAGGATCATAAGTGAGTAAAAATCACACTTAATATTCAATTGAAAATTGGATAGCCCACTTGGGGAACTTACTATTAACCAATAGTACCCACATACTAAGTGGGATCACCCCCCAAGTGGGCAACAATCCACACACGGTCATTGCTTGCCACTGTAGAGCACTCGTCAGGATAAATCGGCTATGAGCCAAAAAGCACTTTGGTTTTTGAGCATGTCTTTCAGGCAGCTCGGAGTACATCAATTCACCAGACCTATGCACCACTGAAACCTCTCGTCTTGCAGGACCACAATTTTGAAACCAAAAAAACTACAATATATATATAATATAATATAATATATATATATATATTCATATATATATATATGTATACATATGTGTATATATATATATGTTCAAATATATATATATGTTCTTTCAGTGGTTGTAGGGTCTTTATGAGATCCAACCAGGATTTTCCAACCAGGTGCCCTGGAGATAAACGGCCTGACCGGAGCCATGGCCGCGGCCGCCTGGGGATATCTACAATGTGGGGCCCACAGTTGATAGCTAAGTTGATGAAAAATCCTAGGAAAACCATGGGAAAATGGGGATTTCCATGGGGATTTATAGCTAATTTATGATAGCGTTCAGTTGGTGAACATAACTCCAATTTCACTATGGTTTATGGGGCGCAAATAACTATAGTATTCATGGGGTGAATCTAAACCAACGTTCACATCACTGGGGGGCCCCACATTGTACCATAAACCATAGAATTTAGCCACTGATGTTCGGCAACTGAACGCTATCTCGGGGGCCCCACCTTGCAATACGTATGAATCCCCATTAACTATAATAATAAGTGCCATAAACCATAGGTATTGGAGTTATTTGCACCAACTGAATGCTATCGACCGGGGGCCCCACATTAAGAACGCATCCCCATAGATAGCTTCATGAAGCCTAGATTTGGGAGGGAAGCAATAGTCCTGATGGCATCTAACCCCATTGTCATTCAAGCTCGAGGGGCCTCACCGTACAAGACATCTTCTGATTCCGACTGAGAAGTTAGGTGTTCATAGCCTCAAGACATGACATAGGCTTGTGGAACAGTACTAAATTTTTGGGGGTCTTGCTGGAAACTCTCTGGCAAGGAGACCGTGTCTTGTTTGCAGCACATTGATGGCATTGATGGTTGGGTGTGATCTGCATGTATCCATGTCGTTGCCTGTGACATCTCCGTGTTCTAAACATACCCACTTGGTCAGTCTCTATATATAAACTCATGTCTCGCTATTATAGGACTAGTTCTTGTTCAATCAACATGTGCTGGTTGGTGGTATACCTACCCCTCTGAAAAATATGAAAGTCAGTTGGGAGGATGAAATTTCCAACTGAATGGAAAAAAAACATTCATGTTCCAAACCACCAACCAGATCCTATGGTTTTCCTATGGTTTTCCATGTTCCAAACCCCAACCAGCTGGTTGCTTTGTGAATACTTTGGTTACCCCTAAGGTCCACAGACCCTGTACGATCATCATTCAGGATGAACCGGTGGCCAAGCCACTTGGGAATAGTTTCTGTACCCCTCAAGCATCATGAAACAGTGACATCGTTGCTGTCATTGATCCAGAATCTCCATCAGTTTCAACAAAAACACAACGGACAGTCCCCAATTTAAATGTCGTAGGCTGGATTTCCCGGTGCCATGTTCCATTACAGGATGGTTTCAATAAAGTTGCCATTTTGGAGCGCAAAAAAACACCCCATCGATGGATAATGTTCGAGACTGGTTCTGTTCGAACAAGTGGAAGTGAGTTCTGTGAACGAGAGTCGTCATCTCCCAAGCGACGCTCCTTTGCACGCCTTAGGTACTCTACAAAAAAGAGTTGATGCGTATTGTGGTTTATATTCATAGAAAGAATGAAATTGTACAACAATTTTGATGCTCAGTATCCTCTTGCGTAGAAAAAACAACGAGTAGTGAGTAGTTTAAAATCTACTGAATAGATCTTAATAATTGTTATTCCCACCTATAGAATCATATGAAATTGCACTAAATGACCCTTCACCCTTTTTCGTTTACACCCATTACTAATGATGGTGAAATCATCTACCCTCTGGTAATTTAACATAGCTATTGAAAATGGTCATTTTTATTGGGAAAACTCACTATAAATGGCCATGTTCAATAGCTATGTTAAATTACCAGAGGGTATGTTTCGTGGTGAATCCCAGATCTTTTCACAGCCGACCGGAACGGAGTCGTCGTCTCTTTTTCTGACCGCAGCTTCCGAAGCTTTTTTAAAGCCCACCTGCAGAGGGTAAACCAACATCTGAAGCCTACAGTTATGGCCATAAAAATCAGTTATAACTGGTGATTTCAGTGGGATGAGAAACATTCTATAAATGGGGTTTTGTTAGTACCTACTACATCTGAAGCACTCCCCTTGACATGATGATTTTACCAAGATAAATTGCGAACTGGTTGGGACTGGTTGGCGTTTTTTTTCGCCAGTCCCTCTGAAAAATGATTGAGTGAAAGTCAGTTGGGATGATGACATTCCATTCCCAATCTGATGGGACATCATGTTTTCCATTCCATGGTTCCAGTCACCACCAACCAGATCCTATGGTTTTCCTATGCTTTTCCCATGGTTTTCTTATGGTTTTCCATGTTGGGAAACTCTGATTCTAGCTCCAACTGCCTCCCTGTAACAAATATGGATGATACCCATAGCTGCGACCCGCTCCCTCCATAAACAGCGCTGGTCACTGGATATGATGATAACTATGGAAACCGAATATCGAATTCACTTGCAAACTGAAACTGACTTACTTAGATGGGCCATGGAGTCAATGAAGTAATTACAATTATGGCCCAACTAACAGAACAGTTGTAAATGGGATGAAACAACTCCTACAACTGAGGTTATATATCATTAAGCACATAAAAATAAATGTTAAGGGCCATCACTGTAGAAAAAACATGTTATGCACCATTACATACTCAATTGTTGAGGGATGACAAACCAACTCACAAACTAATCATGGCTCATCTAGGTATGGTTACTGTCTGATGGTTCGACCACCACTTTATATGAAAGAACACGCTATAATGCTATCGAACTAATTCCATAAATTCCCCATAACTCCAATTGTTTACACATTTAATTATTTCAACTAAATTAGCAACATGATAACTTAACTTTAACCAACTATGAATTCCCATTTCGTTGGCTAATTTCCTGTATGCTCAACAAGGTTTTCCTCACTACTCTTCATTGGATGGGTGAGAAATATGGTAAATTAAACACATATCAATATAAACTGTTGTCAACTATTAAAGTCATATATAAACTAAACCCACAGATTTCCCAAATAGATTCCCATGATAACTGCGAACTATCACTATAGTCAACAAACAGTTGATTCCACCAATAGATAGTTGTTGATTCTATTTCGTAGATTCCCAACTATTCAATATCAACCATTATCAACCACAGATTCATCTCATTACAAATAAATACAAGGTGATGGACCCCATTAACTATAGCGATATCTACATTAAACCCACGCGTTAACCAAGTGACGTGTGTCAACTTGGCTATCAGAAATCAACTATAAATCTCATGAAATCCCAAGTCTTCTTGGTTAAAGTGTCATTTTCCTGTGATTAAATCAGTTAAATCTCATGAAATCCTCATTTTCCCATGGTTTTTCTATGGTTTTCCTATGGTACCACCTTGTAGGTTCCTATGGTTCTGCCCTGCCTTCAGCCCCGGGCCCCACGTGTCTCGCGAGACGCACCTCGCGAGCGCGCGGGTTCTTCGGAGGAGCCTGCGGCGCAGCGGCCACAGCAGCTGGCAGCGCCTGCGGAGGAAGGGTGAGCTCATGGGAGTGAACTATGTAACATGCGGATCTAATGGAGATTTCATGGGATTTAGCTTGCAAGTAAAAGGATTTCATGGGATACTACTGGGAGTTGGGATTTAGCTAACAAAACATAATGATTTTAATGGGAATGACGTAGATTTCATGGGATGTAACCAGCAAATGTAGGATTCTAATGGGAGTGGCATTTACATCACAACCAGGAAGTACTCTTTGGTAAGTTAACACTTCGACCCTGTTATTTTTCGGGCTTGGAAGATGATTTTTCCAGGGTCCAACTGTTAATTTACCAAGGGCTAAGACACCAATAACTAAGCGCCCCCCCCGTGCACCTTTAGCTTGGATTAACCATGAAAGGATATCTGCCATACACAGACACATCCATAAACGAAAAAGGTAGGCCTCTTCATTTCACTCAACTTAGCACACTAAATCACTAGAAAAAAAACCATTAAGTCTCGTGAAATCACATGAATTCTCATGAACTCCCATTAAATCTCATGAAATATCATCAAATCTCATGAATCCCCAGTAAAATATAGTAAAATTTCATAGTATTAAAAAAAACGATGTCTACCCGCCCCCCCAGAGTCCCCCAGTACCATCGGCTCACCTCCAACTCCGCAGTGCGGCCCGTTGCCGCCTATCGGGCCATTCCAGCTCCTGGAGGGAGGTTCGAGGCCCTTCCAAACGCTTGTGAACATCATGTTCCTAAAAGAAGCTCCACTAAGTTAAGATTGACAAATTGACAAACATTGCGATATTCCATTGTATTCCTACATTTTTTGGATGTGTCAAAATGTCTTCCAATATGTTTCGAACGAACATTTTCAAGCATCCTTTGATTGGGGTCAATTGGAGGGTCATGATTCTCAGGCGAGGACTGTTGAAAATGTCTACATTTCTACTGCTGATTTTCATAAACCCCTGGTTTAGGGACTCAGTTCATTTGATTTTGGATTTATATTCTATACCGATAACCAAAGTCAAGTTAACATAGGTATTTTACCAATATCATACATAAGGTACTCATGGTGAAGTACATGCAACATGACCGTTAATTTCAAAAGGGTTACAGGCTCAAGGAGCCATGGAATGGTCAAGCAATTGCGGCTGAAAGACGAGGAGCCAATGGAGTGATGCTGCACACTGCACAGTCATTTTTTTTGTCGCTTCTGCTTCTGACCGTCATCCTTCATTCCCGAAGGGTTGGTTTGTTTGAGCGGCTTGGATGTTGCATCCAATGCACAGTATTGATCGGTGCTGTCTTTAGCCCGGTGTAAAGCTGAAGTGGTAAGCTTCCCTCATGCCACTGTGCCATTCCAAACTCATAACTATAGTACCGACTAGCAGTGCTATTACTTCATGAGATTGAATCCCGCTGTACATAGCATTTGTTCATGTGATTCATGATTCATAAAATAGACTGGCACTTGGCTAACAGCATACACTACTCAGCAGCTTGGAACCAGGGAACTGATGTCACATCCGGTTTTTAGGATGCACCGATTTTCCCAATGGCCCATCCAACACTTGCCCGGTGACCGGCGTCCATTTCACACTGTCCTGAGTGCACACTAGCTACAGTTTACAGTGAAGTAACGGTACATCAGATCATAAGATACTTAATAAATATAAGCTTGGTGGTATCCCCAACAGCCGCAATGTTTTATTTTTACAAATCTTTCTGAAGCGTGCTGCCAAGCCAAGCGCTGGAAACACCCCTGCTGGGCTTCCGTGAATTAAATGGCCGTAAATCCTGTTGAACCTGACCTGGCTCTGCACCAAAGCCTCCCAGGCCTTCTCCAGAACCCTGTTGAACCTGACCTGGTTCTGCACCAAAGCCTCCCAGACCTTCTCCGGGACCTTCTCCAGAACCCTGTTGAACCTGACCTGGCCCTGCACCAAAGCCTGCCGGAACCTTCTCCGGAACCTTCTCCGGAACCCTGTTGAGCTTGACCTGGCTTCGCACCAAAGCCTCCGAGACCTTCTCCGGAACCTTCTCCGGAACCTTCTCCGGAACCCTGTTGAATCTCACCTGGCTCTGCACCAAAGCCTCCCAGACCTTCACCAGAACCTTCTCTGGAACCCAGACTTTCTCTGGAACCTTCTCCGGAACCCTGTTGAACCTCGGCTTTGCACCAAGGCTTCCTGGAACCTTCTCCGGAACTCCGGGACCTTCTCCGGAATGTTGTTGAACCTGACCTGGCTTTGCACCAAAGCCTCCCGGACCTTATCCGGAACCGTCTCCAGAACCTTTTTGAACGTGACCTGGCTCTGCACTAAAGCCTCCCAGACCTTCTCTGGAACCTTCGGAACCTTCTCCGGAACTTCGTTGAACCTGTCCCGCCGCCTGCACCAGTGCACACCGCAGCTATTCTGGGCTGAAGACCCCATTAGCTTACGCTGTTGGGGAATAAAATGGTAATACTTAAATAAACAATTATATATATATTATTTATAAGACCATGTAGCATTAAGAGGCTAGCAGCTAGCCAGAGATTGGAAATCACATAGTTCAGTTAAGAGCATCTCCAGTACCATGGGCTGGAAGTATTGAATTTGCATATACCATATCCAGTTGGTATGGTAAAGAGAATATCCAAAATCTCTCAAAATCTAAAATGTGTGCCACCTAGACTATCTACTAGATGGTGATGATGATGATGATGATGATGATGCCGCTGCCGCTGCCGCCGCTGCCGCCGCTGCCGCCGCTGCTGCCGCTGCTGCCGCCGCTGCTGCCGCTGCTGCCGGCGCCGCTGCCGCTGCCGCTGCCGCCGCCGCCGCCGATGATGATGACGATGACGATGACGATGACGATGATGATGATGATGATGGTGATGGTGATGGTGATGATGATATGCTGTGAGCAGCTGACTGGGGTTTGGTATTTGCTCTGTTCAGTTTGGCAGGATATGCTCTATGCTTTTTCCAAGTACAGTGGATATCCATGTGACCATGCTTTTAACTTCTTTTTGCTCTCCATCAGTGTCTGGCTGAGACAGCCTCTTGAATGTAGCATTCACATAATAGCCGAAGGAAGTTTAGAAGTCAAACTTCCGACAATATGGACAGATGAAAAGCAGAGCAGGGAAGAGGCAGAGAAGAGAAAGATTAGAAGAGAGAAGATCAGAGAAGAGAAAGAGTAGAAGAGAGAAGAGCCAGAAGAAAGAAGATGCAGATGCGTGAAAAGGTAGGAAAGTCGCGAAACACTGTGTATTTCCAATGATTTGGGGCTCCGGAGGGTCGAAAAGTAGGCTCGCTAAAGCGGCGGGTGCGGAGCCAGCTGGCCAGATGAGAGATGAAAAATTGCACGCCGTTGTGGCGCGAAGCACATTTCCAAGTCAAAATGTACAAAACACCAGGGGTGGGGACCACTTTTGGCAGTTGAGTTGTCGAAAAAGTGCACGCCGTTGTGGCGCGAAGCACATTTCCAAGTCAAAATGTACAAAACATCTCAGCGTCGGACCGCTTTTGGAAGTTGTGATGTCGAAAAAGTGCACGCAGTTGTGGCGCGAAGCACATTTCCAAGTCAAAATGTACAAGACACTAAGGGTTCGGACCACTTTTGGAGGTTCAGATGTCGCTTCGCTTCACTACACGACACTACATGACACTACACTACACTCCACTACACTACAGGACATTACACTACACTACACACTCCAGTACACTACATTACACTACACTACACTCTTACACTCCACTACACTAAATTACACTACACCACACTACATTACACCACACTACGCTCCACTACACTACACTACACTACACCCCACTACACTACATTGCACTATACTACACTATCTTCCACTACACTTCACTAACCTAAGTTTGGATGGCGTCATTGTTGGCTGATGTCTAATGCGATGGTCGGTGTTATTTGATTACCTTCTGCGGCTGTTCAAGCAATGGCCAAGGTCATTCCTACTGATCCAGCCGAGCTTGGCACCAAGGAGGAATTGATCAACTCAATTACATTGAAATGTCAGGCTCTAGGAATTTGATGGAGAAACTGACGGTCTGAAGTGGCGTATGCAAATTTCAATTGAAACAAAATCAAACTAATTCGGATTTCAAAGATTTTCGAAGCAGTCGCCCGTCACCTTGTTGAATGATATGCCTTACATTCGGCATGTCTGCGATGACGTGTGTACTCTTGCATGCATGTAGGGATGTCAGATGAGTCCAGGGGAAAAAAGCAATGGCCTGATGAATGAAGTGAAGAGTGAGTGGAAGTGAAGAGAAGAGCTTGATTATCTCATTGTTCCGAGTGGATTTGACTACCTCAATCTTGCATCACGGGTGGGTGCATTGGTGTGCCGATGTCAAACAAAAAACAGTCTATGGTAGGCAGGATCATTGAAGTGCGATCACCTCATGATAGACACACAATATGCACTGCACATACAACATACACTGTGATATATGTCGATGCCGTCACGTCAGTCGAAAAAAACAAAACATGCAGTTTTTTTGTCATGATGTACATACATAATTGAATAAATAAATCTACATATATAGATATGTTTAAATATAAATATAAATATAAAACAGTTATGCTATGACTCTCTGCATCATACAATATTATAACTAGAGTTGATTGCCCAATTGTGCTGTAATCCTACTACTCGTGCAATCCAAGGTGATTAAAAAACAACAAAGACAACGACAAACGCAACATAGTGTCAAACACGAGAAATAGAGTAAACCAACAAGATAACAATAAACAACCAAATGATTCAGATGAAAAAAAAAGATTCCTTCTCTTGGAAATAAGATTCCAAAAAAAAATATATAGTTCCAAAAATTCTGGAACTTTATTTGTTTTGGCCAAAAACTAGGTCAAACAAAAAAAACTCAACCTAGTTTTTGGCCAAAACAAATAAAGTTCCAGAATTTTTGGAACTATATTTTTTTTTGGAATCTTATTTCCAAGAGAAGGAATCTTATTTTTTGCTTGGCCAATTAGCCGTTCTGGGTCCATCTACCGCCCTGATGTACCATAAATAATAGCCGAATGTGGATTCAACATAGTATTTCAACAAATAGAAAGATATATCATCTTACAAGTTTGGCTTGCTGCTATCTGAACATATTGTCATGGAGTTATGCCAATTGTTTGGTTTTTGTCTCTAGGCACTTTACCGCACAAAAAACCCGTTTCTTTAATTATTTGTTTCAAGTTTCCGGTAGGGAATCACAATTTTAGAGTGCTGAGTGCAGAAAAAAGAAAGTTTCATTTGTTGGAACTCTTTCTTTGCAAATATCGAAACTTACACTTTAAGAAAATATAGTTCCAAAATTTTTGGAACTTTTTTTTTGCAAGTATCGAAAATTCCACGTTCAGAAAATATAGTTCCAAAAATTTTGGAACTTTATTTTTTGCATGTCGAAAAATATAGTTCCCAATTTTTTTGAACTTTATTTTTGCAAGCAACGAACATTCCATGTTCAGAAAATATATTTCCAAAAAAATTGGAACTTTATTTTTTTCTGATTAAAAAAACCATGTTCAGAAAATATAGTTCCGATTTTTTTGGAACTTTATTTTATTTTGCAAGTATGGCAAATTCCACGTTCAGAAAATATAGTTCCAAAATTGTTGGAACTTTATTTTTTGCAAGTCGAAAGAATATAGTTCAAAAAAAAAAAGAACTTTTCTTTGCAAGTATCGAAAATTCCATGTTCAGAAAATATAGTTTCAAAATTTTTGGAACTTTATTTTTGCAAGTGTCGAAAATTCGACGTTCAGAAAATGTAGTTCCAAAAAGTTTGGAACTTTATTTTTGCAAGTATCGAAAATTCCATGTTCAGAAAATATAGTTCCAAAATTTTTGGAACTTTATTTTTTGCAAGTGTTGAAAATTCCACGTTCAGAAAATGTAGTTTCAAAAATTTTGGAACTTTATTTTTGCAAGTATCGAAAATTACATGTTCAGAAAATATAGTTCCAAAATTTCTGGAACTTTATTTTTCGCAAGTTGAAAAAATATAAATCCAAATTCATTTTTTTTGGAACTTTTTTTTGCAAGTAGCAAATTTAAAATTATACATCGAAAAAATATAGTTCCAAAATTTTTGGAACTTTATTTTTGCAAGTGTCGAAAATACACGTTCATAAAATATAGTTCCAAAATTTTTGGATTTTTTGCAAGTATCGAAAATTCCACGTTCAGAAAATATTAGTCCAAAAATTTTGGAACTTTATTTTTGCAAGTGTCGAAAATTCCACGTTCAGAAAATATAGTTCCAAAAATTTTGGAACTTTATTTTTTGCACTTCGAAAAATATAGTTCCAAAAAATTTGGAACTTTATTTTTGCAAGTGTCGAAAATTCCACGTTCAGAAAATATAGTTCCAAAAATTTTGGAACTTTATTTTTGCAACTTCAGAAAATATAGTTCCAAAATTTCTGGAACTTTATTTTTCGCAAGTTGAAAAAATATAAATCCAAATTCATTTTTTTTGGAACTTTTTTTTGCAAGTAGCAAATTTAAAATTATACATCGAAAAAATATAGTTCCAAAATTTTTGGAACTTTATTTTTGCAAGTGTCGAAAATACACGTTCAGAAAATATAGTTCCAAAATTTTTGGATTTTTTGCAAGTATCGAAAATTCCACGTTCAGAAAATATAGTTCCAAATTTTTTGGAACTTTATTTTTGCAAGTGTCGAAAATTCCACGTTCAGAAAATATAGTTCCAAAAATTTTGGAACTTTATTTTTGCAACTTCAGAAAATATAGTTCCAAAAAATTTGGAACTTTATTTTTTTGCAAGTATCGAAAATTCCACGTTCAGAAAATATATTCCCAAATTTTTGGAACTGTTTTTAAAGTATCGAAAATTCCACGTTCAGAAAATATAGTTTCCAAATTTTTGGAACTTTTTTAAAGTATCGAAAAATACACGTTTTAAAGTATCGAAAAATACACGTGCAGAAAATATAGTTCCAAAATATTTCGAACTTTATTTTTGCAAGTATCGAAAACACACGTTCAGAAAATATAGTTCCAAAATTTTTGGAACTTTATTTTTGCAAGTAGCAAATTTAAAATTACACGTCGAAAAAATATAGTTTCAACTTTGTTGGAACTTTATTTTTGCAAGTATCGAAAATTCAATTCAGATAATACAGGTCTGAGTCTGAGTCTAAATGCTTTAATACACATGAAACTATACATTTAAATTCAAATTAAATTACTCTACTGTACTTCGAGTCATCCCCACCATGACATCTATACGTTTTGTTACTGGCAAATCTTCTGGCATTCTATCTGACATATCTTCTAGCATTTTATCTGGCATATCTGCTGGCATTCTATCTGGCATATCTTCTGGCATTCTACCTGGCATATCTTCTGCAATATGTTCTGGCATATCTTCTGGCACTCTATCTGGCATATCTTCTGGCATATCTTCTGACATTCTATCTGGCTTTCTATCTGGCAAACCTTCTGGCATATGTTCTGGCAAACATTCTGGCACTTTATCTGGCATACCTTCCGGCATTCTATCTGGCCGTTGAGGTCCAAGGTTGAGGTCCAGCGGTGCCCACTGAGCTCCGGAGGTCCCAGGTTGAGGTCCAGCGGTGCCAACTGCGCTCAGACCCTTGCGGTTGAGGTCCAGTCGTGCCCACTCAGATCGGAAGCTGGCCGTTGAGGTCCAGCAGTGCCCACTGCGCGCGGAAGTTGGCGAAGAGATTGGCGATGAGTTGGCAAGGCGGAGGTGGACGTGGAAGTTGATGCAGACATGGTCGAGGAGAAACTGGAGGAGGAGGAAGAGGAGGAGGCGTAGGAGGAGAAGGAGGAGAAGGAGGAGGAGAAAGAGGAGGAGGAGGAGGCGGAAGAACAGCTCTGATAAAATCCAACAACCCTCACCTGGCACGTGGGGAATTATAGAATATTATATATTATTACATGTGTGTATATACATATTAATGGAATGCATAATTGCATATATCAAAAATACATGCATACATTAATGCGTTAGTATGCCCCTCTGTGCATGAATCATTGCATCGTGTAAGGACACGTGCCTTCCCCAGGCCTTCCACCCATCCAGCTGCCATGCACCTCTTGTTCCGTTCCATGTTGAAGAACTGGACGAGCGCTTGCAAGTAGAAGCGCGTAAATCTCATCACATTTGGCACATGTCTTTTTCCATAGATCATCCGGGTTCGATGCCCAAATAGGCATGGCATGCACAAATGGACGCAGCAACTCAAGTTTTGGTATTGGCAGCCGAATCTTTAGCGCGTCGAAACTTCAAGCATTCGAAGGGTTCTAAGTTCGAATTCTCAAAAAAAGAAATTCATATAATCTATATGTATCCTCGATCTTGGCGCTTCATGGCAAGCACCATTACTGAACCATGATTAGAGCTCCTCAGCCCATGCAATGAGCCACGAAATTGTTTTTCTTTATCAACAGTCAGCGATATAATCTCGAAATTTGCGTATACTACTTTCAACTTTACATATCGTTCCATTGAGGTTGTTCATTGTTCCAGTCATATATCAGACGCGACTCGGTTGCTGCTGAGCCCAAAGAACCTGTCATTTGGAAGTGGCCCGGTCGATCTTCCAAAAATAAATGTCTCTATAATGCATCCATCAGCCTTAAGGTCTATGATATTAACTTAGCTTTCATATCCATGCATCATCAGTGGCTCCTCAGACGGTTGGTGCGCTCCGAAAAATAAGATTCCAAAACTGTTTGAACTGACCATACATTATGAAAATTAGCAATTTCTACATGCTTTGTTGCTCTAACTGGAGGTATCCAAAATCTATATGGTTTGTAAAAAATACCTGAACGTGGCCTTATACTATGGCACCATATCATACAATATCCCCATGGTTGAGGACGTGTCATAAATTGAATATATACATGGATTTGGGCTGTCAGAATGTGCTTGACAGGATTGGATGCTCGGGTTCCATTTTCAAACCTATGTAAACCTACAAGCAAGATGTGAATTTTTAGTTTCGGTTCATGTATGAGTAGCTGAGTAGCAAAACAGGTGTGTCTAAAAATGGTGTATACATGTGTATACACCATTTTTAGCATCAAAACAGGGATAATATGGGATAGTAATCGCTAAGCAGTGGATGTGGAGGTACCAAATTTTCCAAGCCCAAGCCCTACCTAAACCTGCATTTTCCCGCTGTTTCGTTTTGGGATGGCCGTTCACCACTTCGGATGGCCCTCCTGCCGGAAGACATTGGCTTCCTTCGGCCACTGAAAGCCCAGGTTGGTCAGCTGCCGCTGCGCCTCGCGGGGTAATCTACTGTTTGGGGGATAACCCAGAAACATATCTGGTTGGTAATAATGGTTGATATATGGTTATTATATGGTTAATGATGGTTAATAATAATCTGGTTGGAGGTTGAGCCCGTTATGGCCCGAGTTATACCAGTTATAAGTACTTTTACAAGTCACCCCATTTATAGAATGTTTCTCATCCCACTGAAATCACCAGTTATAACTGATAAATGGCCATAACTGTGGTTGAGCCCTACCCCTCTGAAAAATGATGAAGTGAGTTCGTCAGTTGGGATCATGAACTTCCCAACTGAATGGACAAATAAACAAATGTCCCAAAACACCAACCAGCTAAAAATGGTGATTGTGTTTTACAAACTCCGAAATTATAACATTTGTGAAATCTTACTAAAGTCAAATCATCTAAAAAATGTGATGGCAATATTTTACAGTCCTATCTTTTGAACGGGTACTAGAGACATGGCAGAGGATCTAAGACTCTAAGATGTTTGCTGGATGTGCATGCAAGTTTTGCCAATCGAATTTTAAGCTTAATGTGGCAGTCCAAAGTTTCTTGGTGCTTGGTGTGTATTCGGTGCTGCTAGCAAGCTCACTCCTGTGAACATATTGGCCTCCCTATAGGCCTCTACTTAGATGCGCCATGGAGTTAGTTGAGTAGTTTGTAAAGCCATTGCAGCTGGGTAATTATACTTTATGTAATGGAATCATTACATATATATATACACATGATCATACTCATATTTGATCATATATGTCTAGCAATATGCAAGCCATTTAACTAAGCATGACCCACCCCAAAACAAATCTGCAGAAGCTAGTGGATGGTCAATTTCAAGAGGGAACATCAGGTGTTAAACTCTTAAACCTAAACTGGGGTAAGAGTTCTAGTGTACATTACATGTTGACATGTTTTGAGACAAACCCATGGTACTTGGATACTTTCTCCAATACCGAGATCCAAGCTATTCCAGTTCCAAACCATTGACTTTTCAGTATCTACAATATTTACCTACATGTTTGCAACTGCCACACCATGGAACTGCGAAAACCCCGCTTGGACCTCTGCTGGCAGCTGATCCCAGAGATGGTTCGTGAAGAAGACCAGGCTGTATCGTTCAGGCCCCTGCCAGTCCTGTGACGATCCAGAGATGGGAACGACTGGACTGGACTTGACGATCCGGTTAATTAGTGATTATTGATGTTTTTTTGTTAAAGAAAACATGAGCACACATTTTATCACCTTTAAATAGTTCATTTTATTTGTATATTGCGTATATGTGATATGTATGTATATATATATATATTTATTTATTTATTTTATGTGCATGTTTGCCAGGCACTATAGTAGGACTACATGCTATGGTGTTGGAAATAGACCTGAACGAGGATGATCTACATGTGCAGCAAAGAAAAAATCTGGCCCATGCTTGCAGTGGGATGGTAGAGTGATTCCTGTGGGAAACGTTGCTGACAAGTAAGGCGTCAAAGAGATCAAACAACTAGCAGTAGCAGCAGCATTGTCAATTTTGTTTGTATATATATATATGTAATTATATATATAATATATATATATATAATGCGTCTTTAGTGTGTATAGTCTATACAATGCGTGATATATTGCTACCACTGTAGCATCCTCTAAGCTTGGGGTAAATACTGTTCCGCTGGACAAAGGTGGATCACACGTGTCCAGCAACTGCGACTCTGTTTAAAAACATGATAAGAATCCTTCAGAACATGTGCTCACTTCATCTTCTTTTTTATTGCATAGCGATGGTTATCCACGGTAAATGTGAGTTTGATCCAACAACAAACCAGCACCATTCGGGTGTTCAACACTGCTCAAACCTGAATCCCAAAAACTTATTCGTTTTGTACTCATGATCATGATTCATGAATATATATATATATATTGATAAAACACAAGTGTCACCGCTGCGCAAAGTGCGCCACACAAGGTTTTTCCTTCACAGCTGAACGTCGCCTTACCCCGAATTGGGGAAGGCCCAAGGGCCCTTGATATGTTAAATGGCAGCCACGGCATTGACACATGTATGTCTGACCTCTGGATGTGAACTTCGTTACACTTCTCGATTTGTGCTCATGGTAGCACCTCAGTCAGGCAGGTTGCAAAAATCAACACGCCCTCCATGGGGCAATGGGCTTCCATATTTTTCTCCGCTGCAGCTTCACTTCAGTTGATGAGTGAAGGCAATTCCATCATCAATCACCTGAGTCTTCCAGCAAATAGCTTCAAGGTACATGGCAAGGTCAACGGCCTTCGTGATCTTTCCTTTCGGCTTCCCTGATCCCTGAGTTCCATAGGTTTTCACAATCCATTCCAGATAACTGTTCATGTCATCATTCGAAGAAGCCATAGTAGCCATCTCCATGTAGCAAAGGTTCTTGTCCTTCACCTTATCCATGGTGCAGACGGTGCGTCCCCACTCCACAATGGACATGTCCTTTGGCAAGGGAATCTTTGCGTTCATATGCATGAAGGGCTGGTTCTTCAACGGACCACTCACATAGGGATTTCCACTGGCTGAGGGAAGTGGAACTGGAAGATCGGAACCGGTCCCATAGGACACGATGCTCTCAACATCTTGCTCCCAATCCAGCAGTCACCATCACGTTGACGCTTTGCGGCATCGGACATGTTGCCACCTGTCATCTGTTGGCACTCATTCACCACCAAGGTCGCTGGCACATAGGTATCTTTGGGAGCTCTGGAGCCACGGTAAGTCTCAATCACCATCTGAGCTTGTCCATGGGCAACAGCACGATGGAGGAGTCCAGTCAGGGCTCGGATTTCACTTCCGTTGAGCTTCTCAGACATCTGCGATGCATCATCCGCATCACCACGGCGAACTTTCTGAGGAGAAGCCATCGCCATGAGTCACTCGGCAATTGGAGCTTTACAAGCTGGCAGCAAATCAAGGTTATTTAACCCGCTGTGCACGTTCACTGCGCTGGCTATGGTTTGAGACACAAGGGCGGTCATACCACGGCTTTTTCCGTCATGACCTGGCAGTAGTGTCCCCACTATTCATTATCTTATTTATCTATCCCCACTATTACCCGGCATTTAAGCTTATGGCAATTTGTGGCATGAAGTGGCAACTTCGGCTTTCGGCACGGTCGAAACCATTTCGGATAGATGCACTGGTTGTGCATTGTTATACACTATACAAAACACACATGTAAGACACCAGTGTACAAACATGGCATGCAGGAAAACTGGATGCTCAGACTGACTGAGCTTGCTCGGCATTGTTTGGACCCTTTTGTTGGACCCTGGTCAGTCCGCTTCTTTCTGTTTTTCCTTTTTGCCTGATTGGAGGCATATAGTTATCTCATACGTCCCACCGTCAAGAATTTCATAAAGTGGTTTGGTATCCCCTTTTAACTTCGTCAAACAGTCAGCACTCATTCGGAGATTATTCACCCAAAACACAAGTATATTCTGGTTCACAGTTGTTTCCTTGGCAATGGCGTAATCGATTTGCAAACGTCTTTCAAGTGATATTGCTTGACTGCAGCAACTTCTGGTGACAGCATCAAAGAACCCTTTTGAGTCAATTACCAATCCGGCTGGGACTTTTGGGATTTGATCTCGGAATTCTCTAGGGGTCATGCCATGAAGTGTTTCGGCAAGCAAGGCTTGAAAAGCTTCTATACCATCCAATCCATTCTGTCCTGCCAATGTTTCGGCAGCTACACTGGACCTCACAACTCGACGCAGCTTTTTGCTTTGCCAGTCGATGATCCAACAGGTCGTTCTGCGGCGCTCGAACATTGCAGGTGTTGTCAAACAAAGGATGTATCCTCCTTGACTCTCGCCATTTGCACGGGTTCCCCATCCAGCATCTGAGATACAAAGGATTCGCCAGTCGGCGATGTTGATTCCTGCAGGAAATCGCAGGCATACCTTTTTCACTTTCATCTCGCGGATGGCTTTGTTGTACATTTGAACATGGGCTACTGTACCTTTATCTTGGATCCCTTGCACGTAACTGGCAAGAAACGCTTGGTCTGGTCTGGTTGACGTTGCAACCCAAGCTAACTGACCGGCGCATGTTCGCATGATGGATGCATCTGTTAATGGAGTGCTGGCTGTACCAAGGCTTTTGGTGCAAACTGGTTCAAGCGCGTCAATGTAAGCTTCTTGACCTAACTCAATAGCATGTGTATTGGGACATTGACGGATCTCTATTCCTGTATATCTAATGGTGTATGTTCGGTAGTCACCAAAGGGTAGTTTCTTTTTGAGATCTTTTAACACCTGATCCATGTCTGGTTCACCTCCACCTATGAGGTCATCAACATGAACTCCACAGACACCCAACAGTTTGGATCCCTTACGCAAGCTGTAAAGGCAAGGATCCAGCTGCGAAACAGTAAGGCCAGCTGATTTGAGTTCTCTTGAGAGACGCAAAAACCAAGCTCTTGGAGCTTCTGCCAAACCGTATGCCGCCTTTTCAAGACGGTAAAGGTCATCGTCAGCCAGGCTCATCCACTCTTTTATCTCTTTCGGGGGCTTGAAAAAGATATCTCTTGAGGATGGGTCTCCTGACAAAAAGGCTGTTTTGATGTCTGCACCCCATATGCGCCCTCTTTTGGCTGCACACAACGACAAAATCAAGTGCTTTGTTTCTTTTCTGAGGGTTGGTGAGTCAGTTTGGATTTTCCCCAGGTCAGGGTCTTGCCAACCTACCAATACCAACCTCGCTTTTGGGGTCTTTGTGCGGTCGTCTGGGTCGCTACTTTTCTTCCAAGTTAATACCCATCGGGCTTTGATCACCTTTTCAGTGGGAATGCCCTTAGACTTACATAATGAAGTAACCTTATTTTCAATCCAAGAATTCCATTCTTTCTGCATTGCTTTTTCAAACAACTTTTGATCTTCATTGGAAAGCTTTCGGAAGGATACCTCAACACGTCTAAGTTTTGCTTTTGGAGTAACTTGGAAACATTCATCTAAGACTCCCCACAAGCACATTGGATTATCGCTTATATCTTCAGGCATGATATCCATGGAAACCTCAAACACTTGTTCCATTCTGGGTTTTGGGGTTTTGGATGAAACATGCAACTCATCATCGGTTGGAACTGGTTCATTCACGGCTTTCTCCAATTCCATGCGGACATCATCAGCAGTGGATGCTCGTGCTGGCTCTGGTCCTTCGGACTGAGCGGCTGACGCAGTTACGGCATCATCCATTGATTCATCAATGGCTGGCTCTGGCAAATCTTCGGATGCTGGCATGTGCTGGTCATCTGGTGGGTCTATTGATGCTATTGAGGGTGAATATTCAACTGATGGGGGCCTATTCACATCAAATTCAACCTGTTCGGCATCACTGTCAATGGTTACCCGGGGTTTCTTTTCAGGAGGTTCGGCAGGCTGTGCATCTAAACCTTCTAGGCTAACCATCTGAGGCATTGGACCCTCATGCAAGGCACCCATAGGTGGTGCTCCAGCAGCTCTTTTTCGCCAGTATTCCTCAGACCTGTACATTCTACGGCGAACCTTTCTTGGAGCGCCCTCCGTATGTGGCTCGGGAGCGTCAGGTTCTGCTTGCAAGTCCTCATCCAATTCCATATCTTCATCATCCGGTTTACTGGGGACCAAATCTATGTATTGCCCAAAGTTACCCTTAAGTTTTAATTCAGCCCTTTCAACTTCATCATCCAAACTACCGGCTGCAAGGTTTTTGGATAGTTTTCTGAATAAGGCTTCATCTTCAGGCAATGGTCTTAAGGTCTCAGGGGAGCACCTATACAAGATACCATTGAAGGACACCCAGATTAAACGGGGAATTGGACTGTTGGTGGAACTCTCAGTACCTATGATCCTACCCGGCCCCAACCAAACACCATGTCTTGTGGATAACAAGCCTCGGCCTCGTCGCCTAAACATGTATACCAACTGGCCTTGGACATAGGGACCTCTCATGGGCCTGTTGCGGCCTGCAATTGCTCTACGCCAAACATCCTTGGCATGCTCTTCTAAAAAGGCTTTGGCGGCCAATTCTCGGAGATGCAATGAGGCAGCAAAAGATGGATCATTAAGGACCTGCGATTGCGTGGCAGGATTCACCCTGAGTCTCCAAAACTAGTAAATTTAGG